ATATCTAGGAAAGCATACAGTTGAGGCACAGCCCACTGCCAGGAGGAAGATATCAGATATCCTACCATGACCTGGTCTAAGTTCCCCTGGAATCTGAAAGATGAAAGGTCATTTCCTCATTGACAGATGGAGCCACCTTTCGCCTCTCACAGAGCCAGCCTTGGATGGACGCCCAGGAGTTGCATGCAGATATCCAAGAATCCCTTCTCCCTGTCTTCTCCCAGCCTTCTCCCTCTTCTGCCCTTCACTTTCCCCCAGGGTCCCAGTGCTATCCAGATACTGCATCCCTTGGCCTGAACCACAGAGCGTGATCCCAGGGTCTATTCTAGGGATGAAGTTATAAGGCACCCTCTGTCAATAGATCCTTAGGCCTCTGTAGGAGTCGATTGTGATCTTTCAGCCTCTTCTGTGTATGACCTTTATAAGACAAATGACTTCCTCTTGGCAGTGTGGCTGGTTTCTTACTCCCCTCTATACTGACTTACAGCAGGCCATGCTTTATTAAGCTAAAAGCTGTCTTTCCTACCAGGAGTGAAGTGATGCAATGAAGGATGTGTGGAGGACAAGAAAAACCATGACTAACTCCCCAAACACTGACTATTTTCACTCATATGTGAAAGATAAAGAAACAAACCAAAAAAAAAATTAACAAACAAAACACAGCAAATTCTGACAACATAACAGTGACTACCAGAGGGGAGGAAACTGGGTAGAAGGGTCAACTGTATAGAGATGCATAGAAACTAGTCTTTGGATGGAGCTCGTAATGCAGCATGTACGATGGCAAATTATAAAGTCGTACACCTGAAACTTACATAGAGCTGTAAACCAATGTTACTTCAATATTTTTTTAAAAAAGAAAAATCCTATCCATAACACGTCAGGGGAAAAAATAATAACAATGCAAAATACAACAAAACATAACAAAAACAAGCAGACAATTATAAACCAGAGACACCCTGCAGGGGAGCAGTAGGGAGAGGGATCAGAGGGAGGGAGGGAGCGAGGAGCACAGGGGACTGTGGTGATGGTGCACAGGTGCCTTGGGGAAGGAAACTCTATGGGGACTACACCTGAGGGGGGGGAGGGAGCAAAAATTGTTTAAAAATGAACAATGATGTAAAAAATATATAAGTAAATTTTTAAAAATAAAGAAATATCCATCCTCCCAAATAAGCCTAAAAGCAAATATACTCTTCCAAATTCACCTTTGTAAAAATGTTTACATACTCTGATTCAAAGTTTCTACATCCACCTTTTCTCCACATAAATTACAAGAGGTCATGTTTTAAATTGATGGCGTTACATATAAAATCCTCATCAACATCCATGTTATGTTTATTTGCCAAATTCCATTAGCTGGCATAAATATCTCTGAGTGGCCAGAAGTTATCAGGACCCTGTTGAAGGTGGGTTGGGCGGCTGTGTGGCTGGATTGTTCTGAAGCTCCATCAACAAGGCACAGTCAGGAGCAAGGGTCCCCTCCAGACCGCCCTTGCAGAGTTACCTAGCACAGAGTGGACTTCAACTCCTGGAGAGCTGCTCACATTTATTTGAATACCAGTTCAAAGGATTCTGAAAATGTGCTGTTTCCAAACAAGCCTTTCTTTAGAACCTGAAGTAAAAAGAGAGCGTAACCCGAGGATGTGCATCAGGCTAGGGTTCTGCACCATATATGTTCTAGGAGAATGGATTCACTAGTTCATCCATCCAAATATTTGTTGGCTCCCCATTAGTCATTGGGGTGCATAGTCCTGGAGCTATATCAGTAATAGAACAAGGCAGACTGGGCTTCGCTCTTGAGGTGTTCCTGCTCTATTGAGGAGAAAGCGAAGGGTAAATTAAAATAATTATAAATATTTTTAAGATGTAAGCAGGAACAAGGAGGCTGAGGTAGGGAACAGCAGGGGAGGGGTACAATTACTTTAAATAGCAGGATGGGGAGAGAAAGTTGCTCCAAACAGATAACATTTAAATTGAGTCCTGAAAGATGAGAGAACATTACCTACACAGACTTGGGGAAAGAACATTTCTGGTAGACCAAACTCACCCATAAAAAGACCCTGTCGGTATGGTCATGAAAGGAACTCAGTGTGGCTGGGGTGTGTGGAGAGAGTTGGGCAGAGCTGAATTATGAAGGACATTGAAGGCCATGATAAGGAATTTTTATTTTATTCTGAGGTGAATTAGAAGGACCTGGAGATTGAAATAGGAGAGTGACCCGGTCTGATTATCATGTTATGTTGCTGTGGCTACTATGTAGAGAGTGGACAGGAGGGGGACATGAGTGTCTGTAGAGAAACAGGAAACTAATAATAATAACCCAGGGAGGAGCTTCAAGGTAGGCACAGGAGTAGATGTGAGATGGGGAAAAGGCAGAGTTAATCTGTTTTTTGGCAGATGAAGGCAGGAAAGGCAACAAGGATAATTCTAGATTTCTGGCTGGGTGGTTGGTGGCACCATTCAGCAAATGATACAATTTATTCCATTTTTTCTGTTCTAGGGCAAGTCCAGTGAGCCCTGGCACATATGAGGCCCTCCCTAGTTTTTCATTTTCTCTCTAGTAGATTGTCTTATGGAAAGGGTTTTCTTCCTTCCTTCCTTTCTTTCTTTTATGGGGGTAATGATGTTTCCAACACTGTATATGATCTAGAGTTAAAGAATCACATCTTTCAAATGTATGCTACCACAACACACCCACCATTTCCTTGACCCTTTTATAGTTTGTGAGCTAAAAAAAAAAAAAAGACGAGTTAGCCAAGAGACATACAGGAAGTCTGAGAGCTGTCTCAGTTCCTTATACTACATTTCCCAGTCCCAGAAAGAGCTTCAGCGCTAGCCATCAAGACAACTGTAAGTTAATGATGCTCAAGAGAATTAAAAAATCACATAATGACATATTTCCTGGAGATTAGGCCTTGGGTGCTAAACTTTGGCATGAGTTGCATTATTGGGTGAGTTGAGCTGAATTCATAGACACACATAATGCTGTCTAGTGACATCAAGTTCTATAAAGAAAACAAATCAGAGATAGTCCTTGTTCTTTGGACAGGGGAAAGTGACTTTCTTGGGAAAAGGCACTTAGAGATGACCTCAGCGTCTGCCTAAAATAAATGGGTTTCTCCATTGAAATTAGTTATCAGAGTCTTCCAGCGTATTAATCACAAAGCCATCATCTTAATAGTGCAGAGACATCCTCACCACTATGAAACATGAGTGCTACCTGAAGGTGATCAGTTTAAGGGGGATGATAAGGCTGAGGTCTAATTGATTAAAATAGCTTTGGGAGCTGATATCATTTGTTTTCTTCTACAGGATTCCAGACAGCGCTCTCTCTCTATCTCTCTCTCTCTCTCCCTCTCTCTCTCTCTCTGTCTCTCTCTCTCTGTGTGTGTGTGAGTGTGCGTGTGTGTGTGTGTGTGTGTGACTGTGTAGAAGAACTGGGGTACAGGCCAGAGGTAAGGGGGATGAGAGGATTCACCAGAGACAGAATGGGGAGTAGAACAGGTGGATCTACTGAAATCCACTGCTGAGGGGAGCAGCAGGCCAGACAAGAGCGGTCTGCTGCACCATGTGGGTTAGCTCCCTAAGTGGGGATAGAACTCAGGCCTTAGCAGTGATAGTGCTAAGACTTAACCCCTAAGCCACCAAGGAGGCCCAGACATCTGTCTTGTTGTCCATGTGACTGAAATGGAAACACAACTGGCATGGAGTCATTAGTCATATGTTCTTTCTTCACCAACTTGAATCATCAGTATTTTCATGCCACAAAAAATCTGGTTACAAAACTGTTGAAGGAAAACTTGAAAAGATAAATACATTGCAAAAGAATAACACAACACCTCAAGAAGGAAAGAAAGGGCTGAAAACAAGTCATCCCATTGCTATGGACCCAACTCCCAACTCCCCTCTTACAAATTAACAGAGCACAGCATTGAGGCAAGACTTCAAGGAACACACTTCATTCTTTTTTATTTTCTTCAAGGAAAATAAAATTTCTTATTAAGACACTTTAATAAGAAATACCTAAAAGAGGACCAGCCTTGCTCCCCTTTGTGAAAGAAATGTAAGGTATTAAGGATAAGACAGTTCTACATGGTAGTCAAAATAATCAGGGTAAAGAAACAGAAAACTTAAAGTTAGAAGCTAGAACTTAAAGACTTAGGGAGAGTAAATTTATTTTCTAATTAAACCCTGTGATCATTAAATAAATCAGCTATTTCCTAAAGATTAACAAAATCAATGTTAATCACAATCAAAATATTGATTCTGAATACACTAACTGAATTTAATATTTATTAGAAAATGAAAAAACATTATTCTATCTATATTAGGATCTTTCCAGCTCTGTAAATATTTACCTTTATAAAATATCAAGAAGGAATGCCAAGTAGTTCATTAATATTTCTCAATGTCTTAGAAAAGTAAAATTTTGACTTTTGATAAAATTTTACTTTTGATAAAAGTAAATTTTACTTTTATCAAAAGTAAAATTTTGATACTATAAATATAGCATCAAAATCTATAATTAATTCTTTCCCCCATGGGAGTCTTCTTGTTGAAAGAATAGTTAGGAATCCACAGGCAAGGGATCTTCGAAGTTCTTTCTACTTTCTCTGCCTTTGGTTTCTCTCATACACTACTGGGCAAAAAGAACTTAACAAAAATCAGGCCAAAGAGTGAAAATGCAAACTATGAAGCTAGCTGCAGCCACTGCAGCACTAGTTTGATCCCAGGCCAGGTAGCTACCCACATGGCGCAGCAGACCTCTCCTGACTCGCCCACTGCTCCCCTCAGCAGTGTATTGCAGTACATCTGCCTGTTCTGTTCCCCACTCTGTCTCTGGTGACTCCTCTAACCCCCCAACACCTCTGGGCTGTACCCCAGTTCTTGTATGCATAAATAAATAAATCTTTAAAAAAAAAAAGAACAAAAATCTACACTTGACCAACAAGACATCTTCAGTAAACACTCACTAGTCAGAGGTGTTCACTTCTCACCTTGTACTTGCAGGTAGGAATCTTCCTTCTGCCATGATTTTTTCTGCCTGGATGCACACAAGATTCTGTGTCAATCACTGGACTTTGCCTTCTTGTGCCTCGATCATCATAGTTTGTCCTGGAGCCCAGTGTGCTCCTCTTGTCTGTAGAAACACATCTTTATCTCAGAAAAGTCTCCACCATTCAACCTGTAAATGCTTTGTTTGTTTCACTAGTTCTGCTAGATTCTTCATAAACATGTTAGCTATTTCTATCTTCATTATTCACCACCTTTTCCTTAGCCATTTTCATCACTTCATTCTTTTTGTTTTATTTTGATTGATTTCCTAATCATTGTACCCCTGCCTATGCTTTCAATTTTTGTTATTGGTTTGTTCGGTTTTGTTGTTGTCATTGTTTTGGTTTATTGAGACGTTTATCTCTATATTAGTTTTATTGCCCTGTCATGTCATCTAACAATTTGTTTTTCATTTTCTTCTATTGTCTTAACTCCTTTTCATTTTTTTTGAGTTTTCTTTTTTCCTAGAGATGTGCTACCAATAATTTCTCTAAGATTCTTTGCCAGGGCCTCCCCTGGTGGCGCAGCGGTTGAGCACTGGGCTCCGAGGCTGCCCGCAGCCTCTGCAGCGCCAGTTCGATCCCCAGCCACCAGTGAGGGTCCCACATGGTACACAGACCTCTCCTGCTGCATCCGCTGCTCCCCTCAGCAGTGTACTTCGCCGGTCTGCCTGTTCTGTTCCCCACTCTGGCTCTGGTGAATTCTCTCACCCTCCCGCGTTTCTGACTGTACCCAGTGCTTGTATAAATAAATAAATAAACCTTTTTTTAAAAAAAAAGATTCTTTGTCAAATTCATAAATAATTCCTCTTCTTCTATGTGTGCTATCTGCCTTTTACTTACCCCTTCTGTTTTAATTCTTGTAAATCTGCACTTATTTGTTCCTTTCTGATGGCTATTCACAATCCTTGGGGCAATTCTATTGGAGATCAACATCTGCTTGAAGACATTTCTGAGTAAAGGCGGCCTAGCTCTTCAAATGGACTATACTACCTCTAAAATGTTACCACTAAATTTGCCCTCAGCCTTGAAGACACATTTCTCTTTCTCACACTCAGTTAAGATGGTGAACACAGAACCTTCTCTGCTCCAGCCTCTCCTCAGTAGTCCCTCTTAGCTAGGCCACGATGTTTTGCTGTCAATAAAGGTGGAACTCACACAATAAAGGTGGTTCCTCTTTCAGTTCCAACTCTCCCATGCTTTTGTGACTGACAAAGGGACTGCAAAGGGACATGACCACCACTTCTCTGGCCACATCCTTTATACTTGAAGAATGATACAGGCACTTTCAGAGAAGTCTAACATTGCTACAATATGAGGGGGTTCTCCTTTCTCAGCTTTAGTTTCAATTTCTCAGAACTGGCCAGAGAGTATTCAGTCTTTGTATGTTAACAAAAATGAAGTTTTTTAATTTGTGTTTTATTATTTATATATTTGTTTAAATAGGTCAAGAGAAATGGGTGACTAAAATTCTCTTAGCTTGACTTCTTTAACTAAAGGCCTCCTCATTCACTCCGTTGCCCATTGTAGACTGCTTTTACGCCACCATCAAACTGCTCAAACTGCTCTCTCAAAGGTCACTTTTAAAAGAAAAAATAGGGCCTCCCCGGTGGCGCAGCGGTTGAGCTCTGGGTTGCGAAGCTGCCCGCGGTCTCTGCGGCGCCGGTTCGATCCCCGGCTGCTCCCCGGCCACCAGAGGAGGGTCCCACATGGCGCGCAGACCTCTCCTGCCGCCCGCTGCTCCCCTCAGCAGTGTACTTCGGTCCTTCTGCCTGCTCTGCTCCCCGCTCTGGCTCTGGTGAATTCTCTCACCCTCCCGCGCTTCTGACTGTACCCAGTGCATGTATAAACAAAAAAAACAAACAAACAAACAAATAAATAAATAAAACATGCCTCTATTAAAAAAAATAAAAAAATAAAAAATAAAAGAAAAAATAACTAATAACTAAATCTAATGACTTTCTTTTCTGTCTCTTTTTTTCCTTCTCCTAAATTCTCATTCTCTGACTCTCTTTTAGTTTTTCTTGAACTACAGATATCCTCCCAAGGTTTTTCTTTAAATTCTCTCTCTGATCAACTCCATTCATTCCCAAAACTTACACTATGTGCTGTCTGTTTTAAATGTTGCAAATGATTCTCATCTATCCTGATCCTCTTTACTGAAACTTATACACAATTTCCAAAGCTTCTTTGGCATCTTCACCTGCAAGTACTACTAGCTTCTTATTCCATATGTGTTCTGAATTATTATTTTCTAAGCTAGTGATTCTCAGAATGTTAGTTGGCTGGTTTGTTATGTTGGTCGGTTTGTTTCAAAGATTCCCATGTGTATTCATTTCCTAGGATTGTGGTAACAAATTACCACAAAGTGAATGGCTTAAAACAACAGAAATTTGTTCTCCTGCAGATCTGGAAACTAGAAATACAAAATCAAGGTGTCAGCAAGACTTTGCCGCCTTTGAAGTCTCTAGGGAAGTATCATCCCTTGCTTCTTTCTAGCTTCTAGTGATTGTCAGCAATCCTTGACATTCCTGGACTTGTAGTTGTGTTATTCTAATCTCTGCCTCTGTTAGTACATAGTGTTCTTCTCTGTATCTTTCCTTATCTCCCTCTTATGAAGACCCATTCATTGGATTTAGTGTCCACCCTATGCAGTGTGATCTCCTCTTGACTTGATTACATTCCAATAAGGTCACATTCACAAGAACTAGAGGCTAGAATTTACACATAACGTTTGAGGAGACACAACCCACTACATGTCAATAAAACACATCTTGGAAATGTGTTTATTTATTTATTTATTTATTTATTTTATTTGTTTGTTTTGTTTATACATGCACTGGGTACAGTCAGAAGCACAGAAGCACGGGAGGGTGAGAGAATTCACCAGAGCCAGAGCAGGGAGCAGAGCAGGCAGAAGGACCGAGGTACACTGCTGAGGGGAGCAGCGGGCGGCAGGAGAGGTCTGCGCGCCATGTGGGACCCTCCTCCGGTGGCCGGGGAGCAGCCGGGGATCGAACCGGCGCCGCAGAGGCCGCGGGCAGCTTCGCAACCCAGCGCTCAACCACTGCGCCACCGGGGAGGCCCCTTGGAAATGTGTTTAAACAAAGTCAGACAGATTTCATTATTACAAAAGTGCCTGAGTCTTCAATAAGCTAATGTGAATTCCAGGTTTCAACAAGAGTTATATATTGGTTATCACATGATGCTTTCCCCAAACTTATATAACCACAAAACACTCTTTGGCATGGAGCCCTTCAAAACACTAGTGTGTCAACACCATACTTTGTATGTTCTTTGACCCATGCTTCTCAGATTTTCCCATGCAGGTGCATCATCTGGGGATAGTGTCAAAATGTAGATTCTGATTCAATAGATACGTGCTGGAGGTGTGAAGTTCTGCCTTTCTCAAAAGTTTCCTGGATCTGCCTGTGCTTCTGGTCCTCAAACACACTTTGAACAGCTTGCCTCTAAGCCAAAATCTTTATTCCCACCAATCATGTTCCCTTCCTGAACTTCCTATCTTGGTTACTGTCATCACTTTCATCCTTTAAGTCAATCAGAAACTTGGGCATCAAATTTCCTTTCTTTCTCTCCTCCTCTTAATCCACCTTCAATCCAACTTATTGCCAAATTGTATTTGTCTCTTGTACAAAGTCTACTGTCTTCATTCCCATCACAGTATCTTAGTTCAAGACTTCAGTATCTTTCCAGGGATTATGAATCGCCTCCTTACACATCTTCCTGCCTTTCATCTTGTCTGTCCAAACTGTTGCCAGACACAGACATAATCAGGTCAGTCCCACTGCCGCTGAATGAAACCCCAATTGCTCATCATTGAGATATTTCAGGCCCCACAAAATCAGACCTTAGGATATGTTAAAGGAGCATTACATTTTTGGAGCATTACTCTCACTACTAATCCATGGTTAAACTATACTGTGCTTCCATCATGCTGCTGACTTTCCCCTGAACCCACCATGTGTGTTCCTATCTCTGAACCTTTGTCCAAGCTCCTACATGGCTAGCAAAGTCTTTCTTCTACCTGCTTTTCATAGCAAAAAAAAAAAAAAAAAGACTCATTCTTCTAAGTCTAGCATACATATAATCTCATTTGCTAAATGTCCCCCAAAGACAATTAATTTTTGCCTCCTTTATGTCCTCAAAGCATTTTGTTCACAACTTTACTCATAATACCTTTAGCACTATCCTATAACCATTTAAACATGGGCATGGCTTTTCTAACAGTTCCTTAAGGATAGTGATTCATTCATTAAACATATTCAGCGTTTATTTATTCACTCATTCATGCAAGAAGAAAACTGGCAACCATATATGTAACAAATGAATAAGTCACTAGGTACATAGGCATATTGACTGGAGGCAAGTCAAATGGCTCTGGATTATTTTCAATGAATGAACCACAGGCCTGAGTAAAATTGCAGATTACTGGAAGCCAAATTCAAAACTGCTGAATCAGAATTTGGGAAAAGGCGGGTTCTTAGGATCTAATTTCATCAAGAAATCCAGGTGATTCTAGTGTAGGTTAATAGGAGAGAACCACTGAAATTTAAAGTAAATAGTTCATTAGTACCAACATGTGCTACCAGTAACTTAAAAATATTTGAGATAGCAATTCTCCAAATCAGAGTGGAAAACACTACAAAGCAATGGAAAAAGTTAAGAAACCATACATATCATCAATAAAGAACAAAATTAATATAAAGATTTGTTGTCTTTTACACAGAAAACTTGCTGTTGAGCCTATAATCATTCTTTTTAACATTCTCTTGCCAAGGATAATTTAATGTACATGCTTATTTTTTAGTAAAGTCTGGCTATTCCAGTTACCACACTCTTCTAAAGCAGAATTTTTTTTTTCATAAGTGCTGTCTTTTCTCTAGGTAGATCTTAAAACCCACTGATCCCTAAGTCACCTAAATCCAATCCATTGCAACCACCTTACTCTTCACTACATGAAACTGAAGGCCACCTTGATAAATACGAGAGCTAAATGAAAGTTAAATTTGTCACATTCTTTATTTACCACGCCGCACACTTTCAGAGTTTCATAAAAAAAAAAAAA